AGCTTCCAATCCAATACTGGAGTCTTCACGCAAATCCTACCTTCTGGAGCAAATCCTACCAGAGATCCCGTGCCCTTCCTTAGGAGAAGTCTAATAACTGGAGGGCCCCACACAGAAAACCCTTTTTAAAGTCTAAAATGAAAAATATAGAAATTTTTCTGCATACTTTACATGAACAAAAGGAAAGTGACAGAGTTCCATAAAAACAGTGTGGAAAGATTATCCAGATAGGATAATCTAGATAGGATAATCCAGATAGGATATCCAGAAAATCTTTCTCGGCCCCTCATCCTGTTCTCTTTCAGCATCAATGCAAAGGGAAGAGGAAGAGCCAAATGGGAGCATCTGTAGGCAAGAATCTGCCTATTCAGTCCAGTGTTTTCAAGAGACCCAGGTTCACAGTCTCTGAGGATGTCAGTTGCTAGAGCTCATCCTTTTCAGAAACCCAAGTTCTCAGCAGGGAGACTCACAGGAGTCAGAACCTGCAACACTTTTCTGGTTTCCTCCCAGACCTGAGAAATGATGGAGCTGGTCAGAGAGTCTTGCCCACTAGGTGGCGGTGTGAGATGCAGTGGACCTAATCTGGAGGCGGACCAGTTGAGTCCTAATTTTGGAGAGATTGTTTAACTTTCCAGAGGCTCAGGTTCCTCCTTGAGATACACTTGTTCTGCAACACTCACTGTGTGGTTCCGAGGGTCACATGGGATCAAGCCTTAAGCAGAGCACTTAAGCCTCTGAGCATAGTCACTGACCATGTGACCTTGTGCTTTAAGGCTTGGAGCTCTCAAGAGTCTAGTCTCCCAGGAGCCTCCCCAAAGGACCATTTACTCAGCCTCTTATCAGATTCCTTTGTTCCTATATTTACCATGTGTGACCAAGTCTCCTGGTTTCCCAGTTTGGAGAGCTTTTTTAGCTTGTATGATATAAGACCTAACTTGGCAGAAAGGCACTCACGTGACATGAGACCTACTCACTCTTTGGAAAAGCTGGTGTTGATGGATTTCTTTTTCTTTCATGTGTCACTCTTCCTAGCATGGCCTATGTGATTGCAGGGCCTCAGTGCAGCTGAGGTTGACATAGGAGCAGAAACCTATGAGCAAGGGAATACAAAATAAGGAATAAAAGAAGTATCATGAGATCTTCCATTTGTATTTATGGATTTACCATTTGTAGATTCTCCTAGGCTAGAAACCTTAGTGTTCACGAATATTGGTTCTACAGTTTGATAGACTCAGGATTTATATATTTCCCCTTCCTAGCTACACGGTCCTGCTCAAGATTATGGGAGCTGAATGTAGATGCTACCTTTTGCCCTAAATCAGTGGTTTAAAATAGCAAACAGTTTTTATCTTTTAACTCCATGTGTTGGCTGCAAAGCTTTTGTGATCTAAACTAACTTAGAGAGCTGGATGATGCACAGTGGTCTTGCCTTTGTCTGGAGATGTGTTCAATCAGCAGGCTGACCCAGGATTGTTGGTGTGGTATGCAGAGATTCCTGGGAGGAAGGATCGGCAAGCTGTGCAGATAAGCCCCTCCCACTTCAGGACCTAGTGGACAGTTGTGCATTCACACATCAATGCAGTTTATGTCTTTTGTTTTACCCTTGTCTTGTCATTTGGAAACACTCCTTACTCATATTATCCCGTGAAAGTACCCGTGAAAGTGACCTTTTGTCTTGGCATAGACAGAGTATGAGGCAAAGAATTCAGGAAGAAAAAAAAAAAGAAAGCAAGTGTTCAGGAGGACTCTTTCCATTTAAAAAAAAAAAAAAAAAAGAATTTAGGAAGAAACATCCCCAACTTAGATTCCTAAGATAACCCACCTAACCCCATTTGGACTTAGTCCTGCCTTAGTGCTGTCATTTCTCTTGAAACTCAACTCTGCCCCAACCAGAGTTATGAGCCCCCAAATCTGTTGACAGCCCTCCTCCACCCCACATGGGCTCTGCTCTGCCATCTGCCTGCATGCCAGCGTGCCCATACCCCAGGCCTGCCCCACCTCCACCTTAGCACAACCCCCTGACCTAGTGGGAACAGCCCATTCCCAGCTCCAAGCCTCTGCTTTCTTGCTGACTGAGCTCAGTGTTCCATTCTGACAGTGGGCCAGGGCCAGCCCTGCAGACCCATGGAGAGCCATCCCTACCAGTCACATGCTCTGTGAGCTCAGTAAATGCAAGAGATGGAGAACCAGTGGGTGGAGCTGACAAGTGAGTGAATCCTGCAAGCACAGACCCATCCTTGAGTCCAGATAGGACGAACTGCACAGGTTTGGCGAGTAATGGACTGAAGTGCTCTCGGCAGCTCAGCCCTCTGCCAGCCTGAGCATGGGCGCCAGTATTCTGCCCGGGGGCACAATGCCTAACCCAGAACCCTTTCTCTGGAAGAAGAGAAAATGTCAGGGCACCGTCAGGGACAAGCTGCCAAGGCTAAGCTGTTTACCTGCCCCAACTTACCGCTCAGCTCCACAGTCAATGTGTGTGTGACCTACATGGTTTTGGCTTTGGGATCCATATAGGACATGCCAGGAAAAAGCTGATTCTATATTTATCATTTTTTATGGGGGAAAGGGAGGAAAGGAGGAGGCTATATAGTTATGTACTTGCTAAGTCAGGGCATTTTACTCCCCTTATGTTGCACATATTAAAAAAATATATGTATATCTCCACAATAGACTGAAGAGAATAAAGTGAAAAGTCCCCTTCCCCATGGAGTTCCCAGAGATTACAGCCTAGAGGAAATTTTTGTGCTTAATCTTCTAGAAATTTTCTACATATGTGTAAGCATTACACATAAGGATATTCCAACACATGCTTGTTTATGTACAACCTCCCCATGGTTATACATAAACCAAGCAAAGATTTAAAAATTTAACCATTGGCACTCATCTGTCTAATCTCTTCCTATCTGTGATTGACAAGCATCGGCATTTCTTGTGGAAACCAAGTGGGCCGAAAGCCAAAATAACCTGAATAGCTTAACTCCTGGAATTTATCACCCAACTTGTTAAAATCATCAGCTATCAAGGGCTCCCCCTACAGGCAGCAAAAAGCATATGCTAATATTTAAGGTGGGTGTCATGCCTGCTACTAAGAATTGTGTCCCTTTTTTTTTTTTTTTAATCATTTGCAAGATGAAAATGAATATGACTTGTTTTGAATTATTTCTTTTTCTGAGAGTGGAAGCTCATGACTGGTGATCCAAATTTCCTTAAAATAGGATACTGGAAACAGATGCCTAGAAACAAAAGCTCACAGGGGACAAGGACTGGGGTGAGGAGAGGCTTGAGATTATAAGAGAAACATCTCTTCAGTGGAGAGAGAGAACTGAGGAGTGTGGGGAGCTAGCAAGGTATCTGACAGGTTAACATGGAGGGCGGGCTCAGCCTCAAGCCATGCACCCCCTACTGAGGGGAGCTTTCCCAGATCTCATCTCAGAGAGAGCACTGTAATACAATAGTTCCCACTGTCCATACAGCCACATAGGCAGGGGTGAAGGCCAGGCCTCACCCCTGAGGGGTTTAAGCAGAGATTAGAGGGCCAAATACTGGAAATAGTGAAGACTGGTCAGCTGGCAGAGAACCAAGCTGGGTTATATTTAGGATGTTAGTTCTAAAATCTTGAGACTGTGTAATAAAACTCCAAACAGCTAACCAGTCCCCTTGCTCAAAGGCTGATTGATATCATCCTCAGAATTATTTTTTCCATATTAAATAGCAACACTTTCTGCTTCAGGTCCTGATTCACTTTCAAAATAATTTTTTTTTTAAAGACATCAAAATCCAACTAAAGGGTAGAATGTACAATTATCAACTCCCAGGTTTAATATTATCCTCTAGTTATGTAAGATGTTACCAGAGAAAGCAGCTAGGTGAAGAAGGGTAGACGGTGACTCTGCTCTATTTTTGTAATTTCCTGTGAATCTGTAATTATCTCAAAATAAGAAGCTTTTTACAAGTCAAATAAAAGCTAGTTCCCCAGGAGGTTCTAAGTAACCTCAAAGACAGCCCTGTTTGTTTCAAGAGCGCAGTGCCATCAGCCACAGACGGCTGTGTGCAAGTCTCCACAGGCAGCAGGGTTCATTTCAAAACCATGATCAATCAGCTACTAAGATTTACACTTCTGATTAGGAAAGTCTATGTCTTGTTGACAGGTGTCTAATTCGGTTACGTTGATCATAAATCTTCAGTTATCTGGTATTTCATCATTAAACCACCTATAGGCAATACATTCTTACAACTGCTTCCTACGTGGTACTACATGGGAGCTGTATACGGACTTAATTACTTGTATTTACTCTCACTGTAAGACAATTTAATTTGCTTGTCTTACTTCCTCCACTGTGACTTGCAGCAATAACTGCATCTTGTTCATCTGATTTTTTTATCACCAAACCCTAACCCGTAGTAGGTGCTTAGCAAATAGTCATAGAGCAAATAAGAAATAAACCAGGGTGGCACAAGGGGTTAAGTCGCAACACTATGAAGCTATCTATCTGCAGTCACTACAGCACAAGTTCGATCCCCTGCCACGGAGAAACCCACATGGCATAGCAGACCTCTCCTGACTTGCCCGCTGCTCCCCTTAGTGTATTTCAGTCAGTCTGCCTGTTCTGTTTCCCACTCTGTCTCTGGTGAATCCGCTCACCCCCAACACCAGTAATTAAATTATTTTCTTGGGAAGTTATTTTCTTGGGCTGAGGGGGAGTGATTTTCTATTCTGATAGACATCCAAAGACATCTGAATCTCTATTTTGGAATCAGGAGCAAATACATTGTGTGTGTGACAAAGTCTCTTTGTCAGAGGTTTAATCTCTAAAAATCCTTACAACGAATTGTTTTTCATTTGTTAATTTTCTAAAAGATAGTAACTCAGTTTGATGTAGGCTTTCCAGGTAGGAAAGCCAACGTGAATTGCTGACCAGATCCCCTTAGCTTAAACTCCTCTGCTAGAATGATTTTATCAAGTACCAAGCACAACCTGCTTCTTTCAGAAACCAATGACACAGCATCACCGTTGGATTCCTCAAAATAAACAGGTGAGAAGGTATGGCATACAGCAATTTCTCTAAATTTCGTATCTCTCAGTTAAGTTTATTAAAATGTTTTCCAAATAAATATGTTCAACAATCCAAATTCATCCCAGCAGTGAGATCACAAAATGTTGCTTCTTTCTGCAAAGAAGGCACATCATAAACTCATATAGAAAATCCAACAGTCACACCCAAAGTCAACCAGACTGTCATAAAGATGAGATGGCGGCGTCTTACGATCCCAGAGACACCAAGGACTCCGCAGGGTAAGTCATATGAACAGGCTCAGAAGCAGGCTTGATCCTTAGCACCTCTGCAAAGCCATCACCAAACCAGCAAGTGACATGGGCCGTATCTACAGTGAAATAGAAAAGGCGGTCCTGGCAAAGCTTCCGGCGATACACAGACCGAGGGTCGGCTGACAGCACAGCCTCAATGGCGCACTTGGCTTCCTCTGCTGACTGAAAATATTTAAATGTAGCCTGACCCACACCTGCAATGAGAAGAACATAACTTAATGCTCAAAACCATGCAGTTCTAATTGCATTAGTGTGAAGTTCAGTATGGATTTGGTTGGTTCCCTGACATGAACAGCGCTTGGAAATCTATGCAGTCAACATAGAGAATGTCACCTTCAAGTGGTAGTTACTGTCATTACAGTAAATGTTTGCACAACTCCCCCCCACCCCCAAAGTTTTATTTGCTGAACAAAAAGATCATGGCAATGTTCTTCCTTAGTCTCCTAACTACAAGAGCTGACCTGTAATTCTGACAAATCTAAGTGTCACTTTTCTATGCTTAATATAGACTTTAATTCAATTTCTTGTCATTTTCTTCTCAGAATGAAGGTCTGATCAGGGAAATACATGACGGTCCAGCATGCTCAGGAGCCACAGAAAGTGCAAACCCATACTAGCTATGCAGGGAACAGTGCCTCAGAGAGTCAGGGTCAGTGAGAAGTGAAGCCACCTTCCCTCAGGAAAAGGACCCTGAGTGTCCTGGGACAACCGTGAAACAGACACGCCAAGGAAGTTCAATACCTTCACTGGGTAAAAAGATGTTTTGTCTGTCTAGTGGCAAAAATTCCACATTTATATCATTGTGAGTGTACTTTAATTTTTAAAAATACTGTCTGTACAAAACTTTAAAAACTGTGACTTGGTTTTTAATAGCTACAAACATCCTAAAGGCCTGGAAGGCCAAGCCCTTCCAGGAAGGCATGTGCTTTAAACAATGTGGTTTCTGCTAAAAGTATCATCAGGGGTAGCAGTAGGTGTTCTCCTGAGAACAGATCCCACCTTTAACGTCAAAGTCGTTCTGGGCTAAGTCCAATAAACAAACTGGAAAGGCAAACCATGTAGTACAACTATTGGTCAAAAACCCAGGACCAATTAAGCAGCATCAGATTCCTTTATTACGTGGCTCATAAGATGACTATCAGGCCACTGAAAACAGAGGCGTTCCCAAATCATCACTCTTCAGCCTGTCTGGCTGACTCCAGGAAGTCTTCCCCTGTTTCCTCCCTACTCCCTAAATCGGAATCCTCTCCTTTGTGTGGCCACAGCACTTTGCCCAATCCTCTATTCCTGCACCAGTTCCTGACATAGCAGTCTCTTTCATCTTTTCTAGAATCTAAACTTTCTGAAATCCTTACTTATTTCTGTGCTGGCTCTAAATTCTATTGTCTGTTGTAAATCTTTCCTGGTTTTGTAGTTATATTTCATAATTTCTACTTTTAGCCATTTTTTAATCAAGAAGGCACATTGATTACAATATGTAAAATCTCACTCAGTACTGTCATTTGAAAATCATACAACTTTCAAAGTAGGAAGCATTCAACAATAATCCAAGACAAAGGAAAAATGCAGACATAAGAGTTCTTGCAACACCACTCTTCTGTTTCACCACAAAATCCTTTTACAACTGACCTTTCTCCTGCCATCAACTGTATATAGTGATGGAATAATCTTCATAAGCAAAACTGTTCAATAAAGAGGCCAATTTAAAAATCAAATGCTTTGTTTGAAATCAAGACTTAGGACTAAGAATGAGACAACCCTTGAGTGGCAGGTGAAAAGTGACATTATCTTGGCAATTGGCTACTTCTTACTGGGCCACTATACCACCTCTTTTTTTTTTTTTTAAAGATTTATTTATTTATTTATACAAGCACTGGGTACAGTCAGAAGCGCGGGAGGGTGAGAGAATTCACCAGAGCCAGAGCGGGGAGCAGAGCAGGCAGAAGGACCGAAGTACACTGCTGAGGGGAGCAGCGGGCGGCAGGAGAGGTCTGCGCGCCATGTGGGACCCTCCTCCGGTGGCCGGGGAGCAGCCGGGGATCGAACTGGCGCTGCAGAGGCTGCGGCAGCTTCGCAACCCAGCGCTCAACCGCTGCGCCACCGGGGAGGCCCTATACCACCTCTTAACAGCCCCTTTCCTCATGCCACACTGCTGTGTGGGATCTAAGAGGGCAGGGCAAACCAGGGAACAGCTTGTGTTAGGAATCATGTTCCAACAGCTCTATGTAAGAGCCCCACGGCCTCTCTTTGACTGGCTGTGAAGTACGTCTCTAGGGCTGGGACTTACGTGGACAATTCCTGTGCTGAGACTCCTTCCCTCTTACTCTGGGTTTTGAGAACCTGGGCCAGAGAGTGAGCTATCAGCCACCTGAGATTGTGGTAAGATGAGATTCTAGTCAGACAGTAAGGCAGCTGAAAAAGCCTAACCTATGAAAATATAGGACAAGTACCCTTTAGCTTCTGCATGCCGTCTGGAAACTTCCCAGACCACTGTAACAGGCAGGCACAAGGTGCTAAATCAGGACCTCTAATGAGGCAGCAGGCATTCCTCAGCAAACTTTCCTGGGTGCCCAGGACTCTCAATGCCACTCAAACAGGTGCTGAATTAAAGTCGACAAATGATAGTGTTGCCCAAACATTACATTAGAAGCCTATATTTCTTTACAACCAGACACATTGCAAATACTCTAGATAACTGCCCTCGGGAAAGACACACTGTGATAAATATCCTAGCCAAAGCTCATCTTTCATTCAGAAATGAAAAGAACCCGGTTCACCTTCTGAACTGAGGTGCCCCAGGTCCCTTGCTGCGTGAGGAGTGAACCGGACTTCCAAGGGGGCCACAGGGGCCTCCCGAACCCATGGAGGCACTGCACTGCTCCGAGCTGCCTCAGACATGCTGGGGTGATGGGGAGGCCCTGAGGCCTGCACCTCCACACGCTTTCCTTGCATGGCCGTGGCTTCTCTCTCTCTCCTGTTTCTCTTGCTTGCACCTTCCTCTGAGGTGCTCTTCTCCAGGCGACATGGTCTGACACACTCTCCTGCCACAAGGAGACTCGGATCTCTTCTTGACTCTATACCCAAATTTGCTCCCACCTCCCTGTGCTTAGGCGGGTTTCGCAGGTTTGCGGTCTTGTCGTTGTCCGGGCTGTTTTCTCTTGAAGTTCTGGCTTCACCTGGACATTTCAAATTCTCCTCTGGGTGACTGTGTGGCTGTGCTTCATCCCAAGCTGACAGCTGCTGCTGGTCAGAGCTATCAGTCTTGCCATCAGGCTGGAACACAGTGTGTGGTTTATGTTGGTGATACTGCAAATCAAAGTTCCCTAGGGGCTCCACCAAATTTTGTGGCGAGTCATAATCAGCTATATAGGGCTTTATGTCTAGTACAGGTGTGCCATGAATCATGTCGATTCCCGAAAGGTAAACAGTGCCACCTATGATGGGAAAAACATCCTCTTAGCAATAGTTAACAATGAAGAACAATGCAAACAATTCGAGACCCAACACCACCAGCTTATGCTTCACCAGCTTACTCACAATTCTCTCAGGCACCAGGCTCTCTTACCCTTGATACAATATACATATCTTCCTGCCTGGAAATCATTCTCTTCCTTAGCTGTCAAACTCAAACTTGCTCTTCAAAGCTCTCACATTAACACCTCGTCTACAAAGGCTTTCTGGCTCTTCCAGACAAAAGTCATCTTTCCTATGGGTGTCAGAGAAGAACCTGTGTACTAACCTTTGCCAGGGCCCTTTCTTTTTTTTTTTATAGAGGCATGTTTTTATTTATTTATTTATTTATTTGTTTGTTTGTTTATACATGCACTGGGTACAGTCAGAAGCGCGGGAGGGTGAGAGAATTCACCAGAGCCAGAGCGGGGAGCAGAGCAGGCAGAAGGACCGAAGTACACTGCTGAGGGGAGCAGCGGGCGGCAGGAGAGGTCTGCGCGCCATGTGGGACCCTCCTCCCATGGCCGGGGAGCAGCTGGGGATCGAACCAGTGCCGCAGAGGCCGTGGGCAGCTTCACAACCCAGCGCTCAACCGCTGCGCCATCGGGGAGGCCCTGCCAGGGCCCTTTCTACATGGTCTGTCAATGACCTGCCTAGAGTCTGGAGAAAGTGAGCAGATCCTCGGGCACTGGGAGGAGCCGACTCATTTTTGCAGCACTGGGGCTTGCAGCTCTGTTCCAGATACATCAGAGTGTCAACATTTCTCTATGCACTAAAGAGGGTTTCTACTGTATTAAACAGTCTCTCAGGTGACCCTTTGATGGCACCTCTCCGTTGTTCAACCCACTGCACAATCCCCTCCTCTCAAGTTGTGAGTTGAGAGCACTCCAATGACTGTGATGTTACATAAGACTCCTGTACTTCCTGGCAGACTCACTGGAGACTCTTTCCCTGTGGGCTTGATGAAGTAAGCAGCCACGCTGGAAAGTTCATGTGGCAAGGCACTATGGACGGCCTTCAGGCGCTGCGGGTGACTTCAGGGAGCTGAGGGGAACCACCAGCTCACAACCAGCAAGAAGCTGGGGCCCTCAGTGCCACAAATATAAAGAAGTGAATTTTGCCAACATCCAAAATGAACTTGGGAGCGAATTCTTCCACAGTCAACCCTCCACATAAGAACTCATCCCAGCTGATACCTTAATTGCAAGTCTGGCGAGAGACCCTCAGTAGTGGACCCAGATCAGTTGTGCCCAAACTCCTGAAGAAATAATAGTGTTTCAAACACATAATCATTGGGTGTTGCTTAAACTGATAATATGCAGCAAGAGAAATCAAATATTCCATTAAGTATCAAATAACTAAGCAGAATATAAGTCACCAGTATGAAACATCATGGACAGGACTCCTGTTGTCTTCCTCACACAGCTGCCATCCAGTTCCTGCTACTGTTACAGCATCCCATAACTTTATACTTGAGAAAATGGCCAAATAAGAATCAAACACTACATGTGATCACATTTACCAATAATTCTTTCTCCATTTAAGAAAATGTGACAAAGGACTCTGATTTCTAAAACACACTTCCTGTGAATGAGCTTGGAATTTTAGAAAGATGATTTTTTTACTCATAAGTGGTAAATTACACCTAACGATGTAAGAAAGAAAGGCACTAGAGCATAGGTACTAGAGTTTGGAGTCAGACAACTACCTGGCTGGATACTACTACACAACTTATCTAACATCAAAGAATCCCTGTTCCCTCAGCCATAAAACTCATACTGTGAGATAACCTACATGAACACTCTTGGTAAACTATGGAGCATCAAAAAGACATTGTAGTTAATCTTAAAAAAAAAAAAAAAAAAAAAGACATTGTAGTTGCTGTGACCCTCAGTATCTACAGTGCTACTGCATGCCTTTCACCTTTCTGATTTGACCTCCTCTATGAGAATATTAAATTCTCCTGTAGGGCCTCCCCGGTGGCACAGTGAGTTGAGCGCAGCACTGTGAAGCTGTCTGCAGCCTCTGGAGCATGGGTTTGATTCCTGGCAGGCCTGGGAGATACCTACACGGCCCAGCAAACTGCTCCTGTCTCGCCTGCTGCTCCCCTCAGCAGTGTTTTCGGTCATCTGCCTGTTCTGCTCCCCATTCTGTCTCTGGTGAATTCTCTCACCCTCCCGCGCCTCTGGCCTATACCCCAGTTCTTGTATAAATTAATCTTAAAAAATTAATAAATTCTCCTGTAGAGCAGGGATGTTTAACCGATTTGTAGCCACTCTGCCCCAGCACCTAGGACAATGCTTAGCACAAAATCAGTGCTCAAAAAATATGTATGGGTTGCACAAATGAGCATAAAATGTTCCAGTACTATTACCCAAGTTGGTGAGCCACCAGAAATTCACGAAACTCAAGTAGGTTGTTCTTTTCCTGGAAAACCTACCCTAAGTCCAGTTGAATATAATCCAGCAGGGGATTTTGGGAAAAAACAAACAAAATTTTGGGAAAAAACAAACAAAATCACTGCTCTCATCAATTTAGTACCCAATAGCCAAAAAAATACTCTTAAGAGTTTTTATCTCAGTATCATCCCAAAAATTCCTGTGAAATCCCAGAGGGCATGTCATTCTCCATTGCACACTATACAAATAAGCAAGCAGAAGCCTGGAATGGTCTGCTCACTCCAAGTGTCACACTGTTTCACCTTCTGCCTTGATAACAAATGTTTATTAGGTCAAAGAGACTCACGAATGGGCTGCTTTCCAAAAACATATAGTTCAATCACTAGTTTATTTTTGAACATATAGTTAACACTAGTATTCTACACAGGTACTTGCACAGCCTGACAGATGTTCAGTACTAGGGTGCTATTCATCTCAGACCCTCTGCTACACATTACAGCCAATGGCTGCTCTGCAACCACAATGCATGTTCTTTTTCTCAAGGTTGCAAGGAAAAAATAAGAAAACCCATTCTATGTGCTTACACATATGCATGTACAACAGGTTGCTGTGTGTTAAGTTTTGGTTTGTGCATGCATGTGTTGTTACATCTTGAGTGTCCAACTATTTTTGAATCATTTTGTATAGACTGCACTCCAAGTTGGAGAATATCTGGTTATAATTTAACAATTATGAAATCTTAAAGAGTTATTTTTAAATAATTTAGAAGCTTTTGATATATGCGTAAACAAACTCTAAGCATCCTATGAGTTTATTTCAACGCGTTTTTATGTGAACACTCTAAATCACTTCATTGGCTTCAATGTGTGGTGGTTCTGAGGGACTGATGCCATTGGTACCCGCCCAAATGACAGTCAGTGGTAAACACTATGCTAATTTTATGACTTCTTTTGGGTAAGGCAAAAAAAAGGTAAAAGTAGAAATGAAACATGTTACCTTCCACCCTTTCCAGTTTGGCCAGGGTCAGTCCTATTGCATTGGGACGATGAGGGCTCCTTGTGGAAAAAACTCCAGTCTTAGCGCCATTCAGCCTAGGAGGCTGCACTTTTGCCTTACAGTTCAAATGACCATTTTTGTGAAAAACAAACAAAATCCTGTTGAAAATAAACCAGACCACTGAGTAAGAAAAAAGCACAAATTATTGTATAATGATTTCAGAGGGAAAAGCATCTTAAATTCCCATAATTTTAATAGAAAAAAATGCTTTTTGTGGTGTTAAAATGTAATGGTGGGAGTCTTCTCTCTGTGACATGATGACTGGGACATGTCAGGAACCTAATAGATGTTTCTCAGATGCCTGAATGAACAATATTTACTAAGTGCCTGCTACGTGCCAGGCAACTGATGCTAAGCATTTTTACAGCCACTTAATTTAATCTCCTTAAGAGCCCTATGAAGTATAATTTATCCTCCTTTTATGGATGAGGGAACTGAAACTCAGAAATGTTAAATAATTTGACTAGGCCTTTTTAAACAAGAGACAAAAGCAAGGAGCCATGAAGAAAAACAGTGACAGATCTGAATTCATTAAATCATTAAATTTAAATGTCATCCCAGGAGAAAATGTTTGCTAAACATATAAAAAGACAACAGGTAAACAGCTGTGGTACAGAAACAGTTCCTATACATCATAAGGCAAAGGACAACAACATAGAAAACTAGCAAAGAACATGAAAAGGCAATTCACAAAAGAATTCGAAATAGCTAACAATCACATGAAAAGATGTTGAACTTCACTGATAACAAAGAAATAAAACTGAAAAATAGTGGTTTTCCCTGTCAGGTAAGAAATGTAAAAAATTCAATAGCATATAGTGAGAGTATAGGTGCAGGAAAAAGGTATTTTTATACACCTTTGAAATATAAACTGGTTAAGCTTTTTAGAGGTAAATTTGGCACTCCTCCAAAAATATAAATATATACCCTCTGACCAATTACATCCACTTCTGATATCCTCATAAAAATACACAAGGGCCCAAGAATAGGAGTCTAAGAAGGTTTATTATGTTACGCTATTGTAAGTGAGGTGATTCTCCACTAACAAGGGATTAGTCAAATCATGGTGCATGTGTATTCTGCAATAGCAGCCAGTGAAGCAAAAAAGATAACTCTTTATGTACCGTCATGAGATATATATATATATATATATATATATACTGTTACGTGGGAAAAAAATCAATTTTTTTAAACAAACGCCTATTCTACATGTGTATATCTACATTTCTATGTGTACTGAAAAAGAAAAAAAAAGGTCTAGCTGGATATACACCTAGTGAAGAGTGATAAGGCCTCCCCTGGTGGCGCAGCAATTGAGTGCTGGGTTGCAAGGCTGCCCACAGCTTCTGCAGCACCAGTTGATCCCGGCCACTAGGAGAGGGTCCCACAAAAAAAAAAAAAAAAAGTGATGCAGAGGGGAATGAGAGGAGAAAAGAGGAGAAATAAGGAAAATATCTGTCTCTACTTCTGAGTACGTATTTGGTATCAGCAATGTTTTTATTTTATATAACCCAACCACTATCATACAAACTAGGTCAGAACATCAATCTTCTTCCTATTCTACTTATGTGCCCAAATTAACACAAAAATACATTATTTCAGAATAAACACTGATTTTAAGGTTTTTCAACAGTAAAATTAGGCCAATTCAGACTGCTGGTAATGGAGTCAGGAGAACGGATAGAGAGAGGATTCCAAGGGACAGTAACACCAGTAAACACAGGAACTAAGAGTTAACATTGATGTAAGTTCTACAGATTTCTACGGTCTCTTTTGTCTTTTAGTAAGAACAGACTTAATTTTTCATGGGTCTAGAGCAGGGTGCAAACTTTTTCTGTAAAGGGTCAAACTGTAAACATTTTAGGGTTTACAGGCCAACCAATTTGCTGTAATTATTCACCTCTGTCCTGGTAGCACAAGGCAGAAACAGACAATGCATAAATAAAGGGGTATGGCTGTGTTCCCATAAACCTGCTTATAAAAACAGGTGGTGGAGGGACTTGGTCCATGGCCACAGCTAGCTGATACCTGGTCTAAAGGGGATAATAATGACCCTTAGGCAAAACTGAGAAAGTCTATCTACAGATTTCAACTCAACAGAAGGCATACATCACAATTAAACACAACTGCAAATGGAATCTGTCTCTCAGTGGTTTTCCAAAGCTGCCCTGATGTCGTCCAATCACCTGCAGACAATCCCTTGCAGGAACGCAGTACAGTAATCACATGCAACAAAGAAAGAGTGGTCTAAATGGCAGACCCTAAGATCACTTTTAACTGAAGTACTTTACTCAGGGGCAAGTTCTAGCCCAAAATACCACTACTAACTATAAAACAACTTACCAAACATGAGAAAACTCTTCTAAGCCCATCAAGGAATGTTCAGGATTATTAAAGATGCTCTTTCTAATTTTCAAGCAAGCCCGCGAATGGCTACAAATGGATGCCTGCCTTGGAGTACCATTCTTGGCCGAGAAACATGATTCCAAGTAGCCAATTGGCTCAGTTAAAAGATTCCCTATAGAAGAAAACCAGATAAGAAATCATTAGTCAAAAGGTCAAAGTTGTAAGATAATACTTCTTTAATGCATTGATTCCATTTAAAAACTAGGTTTTACGTAATATAAAATATGATTTCTTACAATGTTCATCAATACATATAAATATTCTCATCATTACATGTACATGGCTGGAATGACTGCAGGTCTAAGAAAAGAGGTATTTTCAGAAAACCTACTATCACCATAATGCAAAGTGTATGCTACCATAACCATGTTATGTGACTTAGGTTAGGGTTAGGGTTCAGGGGTTATTTCATATAGAGAAAAATAATGAAGGTGTGAACTTAAACACAAACTCTTGCGATGTGCCTTTACCAGGGCTCAGTTTAAAACTATTTCCTCCCAAACTTTACTCCTCCCTCTTCACTTCCTAGCACAGGATGCCTATCCTGGCATTAATTCCTTCCTAACCGGCTTAACACCAGCAGTACACATTCTGCCTCTCCCACAGGAGGACAGAATTTCCTAAAAGAAAGTATGTTACAACTGCACTTGGTACTTCTAGCCACCAGACAACTGCAGCCACTATCACCAACAGAACACGAGAAACGACGTCATCCCGCTCGATTCAGACACGTCACGTGGTTGCCAAGCACGTAATCGTGCTTTCGTAATAAGCAAGAGAATGACGCACATTAGCTCAAGGTTTAACATTTCCCGTCCCCCTCTGCATTACAGTCGGGGGTCTGCACCAAGGCCACTTCTCAGAGTGCAACCGCCAGCCTTTCAGAAGTTACCTGTCTCCAGAGACGGCTTGACACACCCACACGGCGTCGTGGCGGCCCGAGGCCCCAGCTCCTCCAGGCCGCGCATGGTTACTAGTCAGAGGCGCCCAAGCAATTTGTAGAGCCTTCCCCTTCCGGTCTCCCGACCTGGCGCATGCGCAGAAGTGGCGTCCCGGGGGAGGCGGGTGCGCGGCGCTTGGCGCAGGCGCGGAGGGCGAGGCGGGCGGCGCCGGCTCCCGGGGCCGCCGGGAGCTTCAGGTTGGCGCCTGCGTTTCACCTGAGGCTGGTGCGGCTGCTCACCAGTCAGCGACTGCAAGCACCTGCGCTTTCCAAGGGGACACGTTGATGAACATTATTACGCACAAAGAGGTTGCTGTCTTACTTAGTAATATAACAATATTAATATAAATATCAAGAATAAGCCAAGTACATGTCCAACGCATGACACTAATTTTTGAAGACAAAGGGTGTGTATAGGCGATCACCACATAGCAAAATGTTCAGACTTTAGGAAATGCTAAAAAAATTCTCCTTGGCGCTGGAAGGGATCATGCTCAGCGAAATAAGCCAAAAAGAAAAAGAAAAATACCGGATGGTCTCACTCATAGCAGGAATCTAGAAAACTTAAATAAGGCACCAGGAAAATGAATAAATATAAGAAAGTGAAAATCAAAATCAACAAAATACTATGAACCAGAGACACTTTTTGGGGGATGGGGGGCGGGAGGGGAGGGATTGGGGTCAGAATGGGGGGGTGCAATTGTATGGGGAATATAAAAATAAAATTTATTATTTTAAAAAAAATTCTCCTTGGGTGAACGATTATACGTCTCTGTAGGTTCCAATTTTTCCATAATAAAAAAGGTGTTTTGTCAGGTAAGACCCCAAAGCCTGGTGGATAGGGAGCCCCACACCGATAAGAAATGCGGACTTTCTTGTGCTTCCATTCTTCACAGGAACTGAAGTGAATGAAATGGAGAGACAACAGACTATATACCTGGGAGTGGGGGAGGAGGGGATTGTGGCCATTGATTCTGAGCAGCTCTGAAAAGTTGAGGACCAACAAACACCACTCATTCATCCCATACGATGACCAGTCATCCCCGTGCGGGAAACCTCTCCTCACAGTAACGTCTCTTACCTGTATTAGATTTCTCTGTATACAGAATTTTGTTGCTGGGATTTTTTATTCTGTGGGGGCGGGGGGCGGTGGTGGAATGGGAGAGAGATTGCCTGCAATATAAAAGGTTCAATAGCATAAAAGTCTACAGATTAAAAAGCTTAAAAATCAAAATCAACAGGCTGCTATAAACCAGAGACATTCTGCAGGGGGAGAGAAGGGAGTAGAATCAAAACGGGTGGGAAGAGCACAAGGGACTATGGTGATGAAACACGGGGGAATTGGTGGTGGGAATTTCACGGGGACTATAACTGAGAGGAGAAAGCATACAATGTACAAAAATGAAGAATGATGTAAAAATATATAAAATAATTTTTTTAAAAAAGCTTAACAATCATGAGAAACTTTCTAAACCTGTACATTTGCCAGGGACTAACAGATCACCAGAGGAAAATAACTTACAGGAGGAGCCAAAGACTTAAAAAGTGTTTTTTTTTCAAAAACACTTTAACATTGATCACATTCATATATGTGTCCGAATTTTCCACATTAAAATTAGGAAGAGAATGTCATTACTCTGTTTCCAGTAGGAACAATTCTGTGCAGCTGAAAAAACAAATTTGAGAAACTGGGGCCGGTCATAGCTGCATTTGCCACTAGATGGTGGTGTTGCTGAAAGTAAGTCTTTTTTTTTTTTTTTTTTTTTTAAAGATTTATTTATTTATGCACACAAGCGCTGGGGTACAGGCCAGACATGCGGGGGATGAGAGGATTCACCAGAGACAGAGTGGGGAACAGAACAGGCAGATTAACTGAAATACACTGCCGAGGGGAGCAGCGGCGAGACAGGAGAGGTCAGCTGCACCATGTGGGTTGCTCCCTGGCAGGCGGGGGATCCGCTAGTGCTGCAGAGGCTGCGGATTGCCTCACAGTGCGGTGCTCAACGCTTGCACCACCAGGGAGGCCCTTTAAAAGACCTGATACACTTTTTTTTTTTAAGATTTATTTATTTGTACAAGAACTGGGGTACAGGTCAGAGGTGTGCGAGGGTGAGAGGATTCACCAGAGACAGAGCTGGGAACGGAACACACTGCTGAGGGGAGCAGCGGGCGAGGCAGGAGAGGTCTGCCGCGCCATGTGAGTTTCTCCCTGGTCGGCCGGGAACCGAACCCTCTGTGCAGAGGCTGCGGACAGCTTCACAGCGCGGCGCTCAACTCGCTACGCCACGGGGAGAACCGCTGAAAGTAATAGTCTTAATTTGTGAACTGACTAGTATAGAAAATGAGAGGTATTTATGCTCCTAGCCTTAGATATTAATGATAATCACACAAAAATACATTATTACATGTAAAAAGAACTGAAATGCAAATCATATTTGGAGACGCTGATGAAATAAATCGCTACCTCTTTTAAAGGTAAAATTTCCTCTTAATGGATAACGAACTTAAATATGTATCACTTTCATTATGTGATTATTTGTAGTTATAAGACAACCCTCTCTACTACACGTAATCATCAGACTACACTTTGAGAAACACTTCTCTGTATAATGATTCTTAATTTTTCCTTTAGTTGAAGAATCCCCTTGAAAATCAATTAAAGCTCTGACACTTCTCATACATTATTTTGTATTTAATATCATAGGGTTCATGGATTTAAAAAAAAAAGACTAACCATTGTGCCTAACACAGAGGAGGGCAGCACATAGGAAGGCTATGTGGATTCCTGCAAAATGTTAATTCTGTACCTCAGGGTATGAAGTCAAGAAGTCAGCTTAGATGCACACTAATATTTGAATGAGAATAGTGAGAAAGCAGAGTTTGTGTGTGTATAGGTGGTTAGGTGAGTGGGTAGGCAAAAAGTGTTCTAACGTTAAAGATTCCTCTTTCTCTGACGTACTACTGTCCTCATTCCATCTACTTCCCTCCCTCTTTCACCTTTGTGCCATGTAAATTGTACCTGCAAATCTCTTTAAGATTCATTTTAATGCTAAACTTAGAACTTGGGATTCTGTTTACTCTTTTTTTCTCTAACCTTGACCCACTCTGGGCAAGTGAAATTGAGACAAGATTTTCAGAGATTGAGAACCATCATGAAAAGAACCAAGAAGTTACACGTGACTTTGGGTTAGTACACAGCCTTGCTAAAGTTATTCCCTTATCTGTAGAATGGGAGTGATAGTCACTGCCCAGTCTATTTCAAAGACTCTTGTGTGAATAAAACAAAAGTGCATGTGAAACCATAATTTACAAAGTGCCATCCAGGTGTAAGGGACTATCATGGCTATGCCGCCCTCAGAATGTCACTTGAGTAATATGATGGAATGTGAGTGATCATTATACAATGACTATATACTCAGGGGAAAAAAATTAGTATTTGTGGGGGAGGGTGTGACAGATAGGAGGGAAACAGCATGTAACCTCCCACTATACCAGTGGTTTCTCAACCTGAGCTGCATGTAGGAGTCATCTGGATAACTTTAAAATGAAATATCCTAAATGCAATGTTGTGTCCTGGATTGGATCCTGAAGCAGAAATAGAACATTAATGGAAAAACAAATGAGATTCTGATACCTATAGTTTAGTTAATGGTAATATAGCAATCTTACTTTGTTAGTTCTGACAATAGACCATATAAGATGTTAGCATTATGGTAAATTGGATGAAAAGTATATAGGAACTTCTATACTTTTTTATCTAATTTATCAAAGTAACTGGTTTATATCATTATGTAGGTTTCGGATTTATAGCATTATTAATCAACATCTGTGTACATAGCATTATGCTCATCACTAAAGTCTAATTTCTATCCTTCACCATACAATTAGTCCCACCCCATCCCTTCTAGTAGCTGCTGATCTTATAGTCTAAGAGTTTTTATTTTATGAGTTTTTTTTTTCTTCCACTGATGAGTGAAATCACTGGAGTTGGTTTTTCTTATTTCATTTACCATAAAACTCTCTACTTTCATCCATGTTGTTGCAAATGCAGAACTCTGTACTATCTTTATAGTTTTTCTATAAACTTAAAATTATTCTTCCAAAAATATTAAAACAAAAATGTTTAAGAACTAAATATTCCTATGCCTGGACATTGCCCTAGACAGGTGAGCCAGAATCCCCACGGAGGTGTCTGGACAGCTGTAATTGAAATCCTTCCTGTGGTTCTGATACGACGGGAAGGGTGAGAAGTACCATTCTACACCATGAATGCTTGAGACGGGAAGGTCCTGTCTAGTTCTTCACCGAAGCATCATTTCCCTCCAATGCCTACATGGACAGCTTGTGCCATCGTGCCCCTGCTGAACCCAACTTTTATTTGTAAAAGTCTCCTTTACTTTGAGTCCTCTCTAATAACAGAAGAAAAACTGGAAAAACCCTTCCCAAATATACCAGAGATGTTTTCCAACATCTTCCCATCCAGGACAAGCTCCTACTACTGTTGGAGTCTCTTGCATTCCTGACCACAAATATCCTAACATTCTAACACCACCACTCCATTGTTTAAAAGTCTTACTTTGCTCCCTATTACCTAACACGTGATACTTGTTAGGTAGACAAAATTCTGTACACTCTGATAACGCAAGATTTTTAGCCTATGGGCCTGCTGTTCTGCATGGACCCAGTATTCACTAGAGTTTGCATGCAGTCCTCTTGGACATGTCTTAAATTCAACCTTTTCCATGTCACATTCAATGCTGCTGCTCTCCTCACCTTTGCAGAGCCTCTCCATTTTTCAAGGCTCTGCTCATGTGTGATCTTTTCAGGTCACTCCAGCAAAAAACGAGTGTTCCCGCTTTTGTATCTACAATTTCAGTGGCATTGTACTTAATCTGTTCTTGAATTATTTGTTTTGTTTTATCCTCCATGAGAATAAAGTAAGACCCTGGTGGGCAAGGACTATAAATTATATATCTTCTAAACCTCCTCCCAGAGACTTTACCATGATACATCCACACAGTTAAGATATAATAATGATTTAATGTACATTTTTCAAATACAATCTTTTAAAAGTAAAAATAGAAAATCAAAATTCAAAAACACAATTAAACTATCTTCATGATACTAAAATATCTTTGAAGGTGTCCCAAAGATAACAATTAACTAAAAAAATTAACTAATATTAACTAAAAAAAACTAAAAAAATTAACTAAAAAAATTAATATTAACTAAAAAAACCCTAAAACCTGAATAAAATACTGAAGTTATTGTTACATTACTAATTGAACAAAGCTGACAATAAAACAATAAACTCCCCCAAATTTTCAGTCTTCAGATTAATTTTTCTCTTAAAAATTCATCAAAGATATTATTTTGAGGGTAAATATAAATTATTCAGTCTCCCACGTCTATTTTTGTTTCTTCCCACCACTAGACTCACCCCATAAACATACACGCACACACACAAACACACACACACACACACACACACACAAACACACACACTAGCAGGATATTGTCCATGTGATAAAGCCTGAAAAAAAGGGCCTCCCCTGGTGGCGCAGCGGTTGAGTGCTGGGTTGCGAAGCTGCCCGTGGCCTCTGCGGCGCCGGTTTGATCCCGGGCTGCTCCCCGGCCACCGGAGGAGGGTCCCACATGGCGCGCAGACCTCTCCTGCCGCCCGCTGCTCCCCTCAGCAGTGTACCTTGGTCCTGCTCCCTGCTCTGGCTCTGGTGAATTCTCTCACCCTCCAGTGCTTCTGACTGTACCCAGTGCATGTATAAACAAAACAAACAAACAAATAAATAAAAAGCATGCCTCTATTAAAAAAAAAAAAACCCTGAAAAAAATATTACTTCTCTTTGAGATGTTGTCTATAAGTAGAAAAAGAGTAAGTTAAAATATTAGTGAATCCTGTAGGGATTTCTACAATATTTTGAAAACAGCACACATAGCATATATTAAGATGTGTATTTTGTTGGACAAGTATGATGGTTGAGGACTGTTAAAACAAAACATAACTAAAGACATCATTTTCTGGATGAATCTCTTGAGGAACATTTGAAATTGCTGGTATGTCTGGTTCTTCTGCTTTGGGTTTTTCTTTTATCTCTAAAAGACAAAATATAAAAAGTAGGTTCAAAAAAGGGTATTGGGAAATATTGGGGGGGGGGCAGGAACCCTACCTAATACCTTGTACAAAAACAAATTACAGATGAATTAAAGATTCAAACAGTAAATATCATAAATACTGTAAAAACAATAGGAAGTTCTTGTAATGATAGAATTATAAGGCCTTTTGAAGCAGGTCACAGACCAGAACCCATAAAGAAAAAGATTGACACATTTAACTTAGGTTTAAATATCTGAAAATTAAAATTCTATATGAGAAAAAAACACTATAAAAGTTAAACCATAAACAACTGGTTTGGGCAAAAATTTATAATTGACATGTAGGTAAAGATTTAGTAACTACAGAGAGATTTTTAGATGAATCCAAAAAGATAAATATCAGAAATTTTAAATGGGACTATATACTCATCAGGAAATTCTCAAAAGGAAAAATTCATAATAATCATGAAAAGAAAAGTTAACCTGGTAGCATTACCCATCAAAAAGAGTGGGAATCAAAACAATTAGTTTGACTCTTTTTTTTTTTTAGTTAGCGATTCAATTCTAATAGCAGCCATAGAGGAACAACAAAAACAATTCTTTTTTTAAACCTAGCAGGTAAGCAAAGATTTTTTTTTTTTAAGATTTATTTATTTTATACGAGAACCGGGGTACAGGCCAGATGTGTGGGAGGGTGAGAGAATTCACCAGAGACAGAGCGGGGAACAGAACAGACTGACGAAACACACTGCTGAGGGGAGCAACGGGCGAGACAGGAAAGGTCTGTCCAGCCAGGTGGGACCCTCGCCGGTGGCCGGGGATAGAATCGGTGCTGCAGAGGTTGCCGGCAGCTTCACAGCCCAGTGCTCAACCGCTGCACCACCAGGGGAGGCCCGTAAGCAAAGATTTTTAAGATGTGATTATGTGTAGTGTTGACAAGGGCATGGGGTGGAAAGGCGCTTTATATAAACTCTTGGTTTGTGTGAACTGCTACATTTTTGGAGACTAGCCTAGCCCAATGACTTTAAATGCTGGTACCCTATGGCCCAGCATTTCAATTTCTAGGGATTTAGCCAAAGGAAACAATCAGACAAACTTAAGCTTCCAGTGCCTCGGTTTCCTTATCGGTGGAATGGGAATATTACTGGAGCTTTTAACAATGACTAAAACAAGTCACACAAAATATTTAATATGGGGTCTAGCATAGAGGAAGTGCCAAATAAATGTTAAATAAATGTTACTTCCAATAATGTTCATTGAACATTATTGTAATAATGGCAAAATTTAGCAGCAATCTAAGCGTTCATTATTATAGGGATTGGTTGAATAAATCAGTGTTTATAAAACTCAATACTGCACAATTGTTGCAAAAGAGGTTTGTTAAGATAGCCAGGATATATATATATATATATTGTGTGTGGGGAAATCAGGTATGAAATGGAATGTAGTATAATATCTCATCTGTTAAAACAACTTTCATGTTAGATATCAGAGATAGGAGAGGGTATTAGAGGGGACATTTACTCTGTATCTACTTACATATTCCTTTAATTTATCATAATGAACATTTATCATTTATTATTATGAAGATTTTATAATTAGCAAAAAAAAGATTTTATAATTAGCAAAAAAAATGGTACTTTTGTTTGGTAAGCCACAATGACAAATTAAGCATTAATTCATTAGCTATATTAACCTTGCTAGAATTAGCATGAAACCCCTAGGATGGGCTCTGTGCTGACCACCACTGCTTCTTCAACCACAACTGTCACTGAAGTCGTGCTGCTTATGTCTGTTTTTTACTGTAATTTTTTAAAGGTGTTTCCTCAAAATATATTTGGAATCTAACTAACCCCATGTTGTTGTGGTACTTATCTTTTAAGAGAAAGAGGAAATAAACAACCAAAAGGATTTCTTTGGAAAACCGGTTCCCTGGGGATAACTATGGTCTGGTGAACTCAGCCTGTTTCTTATACTAATTGCCCAAAAAGAATCCAGGTTCTGTTATATCCTTAAGATTTCTTGAACTACTAAACATAGAGCTTCCATATGATCCAGCAATTCCACTGCTAGGTATTTACCCAAATGACACAGAAACAGTAATTACAAAGGGCACCTGCACCCCTATATTTATAGCAGCACTATTTACAATAGCTAAGCTATGGAAGCAACCCAAATGCCCAAAAATAGATGACTGGATCAAGAAGATATGGTACATATACACAATGGAATATTACTCAGCAATCAAAAAAGATAAATACATGCAGTTTGCAGCAACATGGATGGAGCTAGAAGGGATCATGCTCAGGGAAATAAGTCAGAAAGAAAAAGAAAAATACTGGATGGTCTCACTCATAGCAGGAATTTAGAAAACCTAAATAAGAGACCAGGAAAAAGACTAATCAATTACAAAGTGAAAATCAAAATCAACAAGCAACTATAAACCAGAGACACACTAGGGGGGAGAGGTGGGAGGGGCAGGGATAGGAAGGACTAGAGTCAAAATAAGGGGAGAGGTGCAATTGTATGGGGAATATAACCAAAATGAAAATGCATACATTGTGCAAAGATGAAAAAAGATATAAGAAATATATAAAATAAAATATTTATAAATAAAAAAAGACAAGTTGAACTAATGAAAGGTCACAATGTTTTCAAAATTCTGTGTTAGGGAGAAAGCTTTTCAGGAGCAAACTTTGAAATAGAAAGGGTTTTGGATAAACCTAGAAGTCCTACATGAATGAGACCCTACTTTTGTTGTATACCCTGGGACTGTGTGCCATGAATATACTTGCCTTTCATTTGCCAGGAATTAAAAATATTTTGGAGGGGGGACTTCATTCATGAAGTTTTCTGGTTGTCCTTTAAAATATTTTGCACATAATTCATCCTACATTGTGTTCATTTCCCTTCAGTAGCTAAAGCTTGCCAAAATGGATAGTTAAGTACTATTTCCTACTGTACACACATATTTCCCATTATTTTCTTTTAATTCTTGGGAAATGTGCTAAGGCAAATACTGGTTGGTTGAAAAAAAAATGTTAATGAAACTAGTCAGTGACATTAATGACACCCCTTGAGATATAGGGATAACCTAAGATTGCTAAAGGAGGCTATAAATCATCATGCTATGAGTGATATACCTATGTTTGTGCTCTAACTGTAAATGGGGAGCACCATTACATGCTGATGTCACTGATTTTCCCCCCTAAACAGCACCTACCACAAGGAAAAGCATAAACATCCTCACCGTCTTCCTGGTGTGCTTTAGGGTCCTGACCTTGGGACCCACTTGTTTCTCGGTGTGGTTCTGGAAAGCATTCTTCAGGCACATTGTTGTTTTTATATGTTTTAGTAGAAAGGTCTTCAGGTCCATGTGTTTCTTGGTATATTTCAGGTGCACAGTCATCAGGCCCAGGTGTTTTTTGGTATATTTCAGGTGGATATGCTTCAGGAGCAGATGTTTCTTGTATTGTTTTATGAGGGGGGGATTTATATGTTTTATGAGAAAAGTATTCAGGTTCAACTGTTTCTTGGTATGTTTTTGTTGAAAGGTCTTTGGGCACAGCTATTTCTTGTTGTGCGTTTGGAAAGATTTCAGTCTCAACTATTCCTTGACCTGGTTCAGAATTATATTCCTCAAGTTCAACTCCTTTTTGGTGTGTTTCAAGACTATAGCCTTTAGACACATCTGTTTGGGGGTATGCTTCAAGAGAGCATCCTTCCAGATCAGCTGTGTCTTCAGATGTTTTAGGAGGAAGGGCTTTGGGCACAGCTGTTTCTTGGCATCTTTTAGGAGAGAGATCTTCAGGGGTGGCCATATTATGGCTCATTTTGGAAGGATGGTCTTGAAGTATGGCTATTTCTTGGCACTGTTTAGGAGAGAGATCTTCAAGGGTAGCCACATCATGGCTCATTTTGGAAGGATGGTCTTGAAGTATGGTTATTTCTTGGCACCTTTTAGGAGAGAGATCTTCAGGAGTAGCTACATCATGACTCATTTTGGAAGGATGGTCGTGAAGTATGGCTATTTCTTGGCACCTTTTAGGAGAGAGATCTTCAGGGGTAGCCATATCGTGGCTCATTTTGGAAGGATGGTCATGAAGTATGGCTATTTCTTGGCACCTTTTAGGAGAGAGATCTTCAGGGGTAGCCATATCATGGCTCACTTTGGAAGGGTGGTCATGAAGTATGGCTATTTCTTGGCACCTTTTAGGAGAGAGATCTTCAGGGGTAGCCATATCATGGATCATTTTGGAAGGATGGTCATGAAGTATGGCTATTTCTTGGCACCTTTTAGGAGAGAGATTTTCAGGGGTAGCCATATTGTGGCTCATTTTGGAAGGATGGTCTTCAGGTATGACTGTTTCTTGACACACTTTAGGAGAGAGATCTTCAGCTTCAGTCATATTTTGGCATATTTCAGAAGGATAGTTCTGTACCACTGTTTTTTGGTACTCAGAAGCATTTTCCCGCTGTGTAATGCTCTGTTGACCTATTTCAGAAAAATGTTTCTCTGGTACACCATTTTGGGGGGAGGCTCCAGGAGGTAGAGTTTCAGGAGTACCCCAAGATGTCTCAGTTTCTTTCTCTACTGTAGGTGCCAGTGCATTCTCAGTCACTTCCTTTTCTACTTGTAACTGAGACTCCACCTTTGGTTCTGTATTTTGTTGTCTCTTTCTGCCTCTTTCATTTATTTTTCCTATTCTCTGTCGCTTGCTTTTTTTCTGTTCTCTGTGGAGAAATCAAAATTAGTGTCAGAAGTGGGGCTACAGGTTTCAAATAAATGTTTGGTAATAACCCAGGTTCCCCATGCCTTGATGCATGACTTTGAGCAAATCATTTAATCTCTCTGGGCCTTAATCTCCTTATTTGTAAAACAAAGAAGCAGTGCTAGATGTTTTCAATTGTCAGGAGAGCAAATGTCCCTCAGGGACTTTTTGTCTCCAACACCATGCTCACCAGGAACCTTCTTGGTGAATGTAGTGTATGCGTGCCTGTGTGTATTTAATAGATTGGCATCCCGGATTGGCATCCTGGTTTGTATGAGAGTCTTTGGGCTTAGTCCATGTGAATTAATCTACTTACCACCAGAGCATCCACTATGCTCTAGATAAATTGACACAATTGAGTTTCTAGATTTGCAATCCAGGCACAGCTCCTCATCTGTGCAGCCATGATACAGGCAGCTTGCTTATCTCACACAGTGTCTTGTGTCTTGTGAAAAGAATGTTAAGTAGCTGCAATACCTATCAGATGAGATGTACTGTGAGCTGGGTCAAAAGCTGCAAAAACAGTTCTTGGGGTTAAGAAGCCTGTGGAAAACATGAGTGGCCGTGTCCTACCTATTCTAAATTAATAGATTAAAGGTCTAGAAGATGAAAGGACACACAGGGAAATTGAAGCCAGTGACAAATTGTTAGTTACTGCAAATATAACCAAATACAGATGGCAAATACAGATGGGCTCAGGGGGAAGAACAAGGTCCTATAAATAAGCATTTCATCATTTTTCTAAACCTATTGATACTCTGTTCTATGATACCTGCTCTGTAAAGTCTTCTCTAACAGCCCACAGGGCTGAAATGCTCTCCTTGTTTTGCACTCCTGTAGGACTTATTGTGAAGATTGTGCTGAAGGCAAGGAAGAAAGGTTGCCTCATACTGCAGTTATTTCTGAAGAAACCTAATTTCTTTTAGTAAACGAGACATTCTTTAGAGATAAAACCAGTATTTTGTATACCTCTGAAGTACTTGTAGTTCCTTGCACAGTTCAAAAACTGTATACACTACTCCTCTTGCGTTATGTTAGAAAATTTCTCCAGTTTAAATTTTTTTTTAAATATTGCCTTGAGCAAAGATAAACAGTGGGGACTACATCAAATTAAAGAGCTTCTGTATAGCAAAAGAGACAGTAACAAAAACAAAGAGACACCCCACCGACTGGGAGAAAATGTTTGCACACAACACTAATGATAAAGGACTGATCACAAAAATCTACAAAGAGCTGATGAGACTCAACAAAAACAAAGTAAATAATCCAGTCAAAAAATGGGCAGAAGAGCTAAAAAGGAACTTCTCCAAAGAGGAAATGCCAACAGGCATATGAAAAAATGTTCAGCATAGCTTGTAATCAGGGAAATGCAAATCAAAACTACAATGAGATACCATCTTACACCAGTGAGAATGGCACATATTAAAAAAACTAGCTACAACAAATGTTGGCGAGGATGTGGAGAAAAAGGAACTCTCCTGCACTGCTGGTAGGAGTGCAAACTGGTCCAACCACTATGGAGAGCTGTGTGGAGATTTCTTGACCTACTAAACATAGAGCTTCCATATGATCCAGCAATTCCACTCCTAGGTATTTACCCAAAGGACACAGAAACATCAATTCCAAAGGGCACCGGCACCCCTATGTTTATAGCAGCACTGTTTACAATAGCTAAGCTTTGGAAACAGCCCAAATGCCCAAAAATAGATGACTGGATCAAGAAGATATGTTACATATACACAGTGGAATATTACTCAGCATTCAAAAAAGATAAGCACATGCAATTTGCAGCAACATGGATGGCGCTGGAAGGGATCATGCTCAGCGAAATAAGCCAGAAAGAAAAAGAAAAATACCAGATGGTCTCATAGCATGAATTTAGAAAACCTAAATAAGGAACCAGGAAAAAGACTAATTATAATAAAGTAAAAATCAAAATCAACAAGCAACTATAAACCAGAGACACACTATGCGGGGGGAGGGAAGGATGAGGGAGTAGGGTCAAAATAAGGGGGGTGGGAATTGTATGGGGAATATAACCAAGATGAAAATACATACATTGTGCAAAAATGAAAAATGATGTAAAAAATATATAAAATAAAAATAAGATTGCCTTGAGATACTACCTCACACCTGTGAGAATGGCCTAGATAAAAACAAAACAAGGGCCTCCCCGGTGGCGCAGCGGTTGAGTGCTGGTTTGCAAAGCTGCCCGCAGCCTCTGCAGCACCAGTTCGATGCCCGGCTGCTCCCGGGCCAACAGAGGAGGGTCCCACATGGCGCGCAGACCTCTCCTGCCGCCCGCTGCTCCCCTCAGCATTGTATTTCGGTCCTTCTGCCTGCTGTGCTCCCTGCTCTGGCTCTGGTGAATTCTCTCACCCTCCAGCGCTTCTGACTGTACCCAGTGCTTGTATAAATAAATAAATAAATCTTTAAAAATAAATAAATAAATAAATAAATAAATAGAAACAAACAAAAAAATCACAACAAATGCTGGTGAGGATGCAGAGAAAAAGGAAACCTCTTACACTGTTGGTGGGAATGTAGATTGGTCCAGCCCCTATGAAAGAATTGTGGAGATTCCTCAAAAGACTAAAAATAGATTTACTATAGGACACAGCAATTTCACTCTTACGTATCTATCCAAAGAGCACACAAACACTAATTCAATAGGAAACCTGCACACCTCTATTTATAACAGCACTATTCCCAATATCCAAGATATGGAAACAACCTAAATGTCCCAGAATAGATGAGTGGATCAAGAAGATGTGGTACATATACACAATGGAATACAACTCAGTGATCAAGAGAAATAAACTCATGCCATTTACAGCAACATGGATCAAGCTGGAAAGGATTACTAGTATTATTATTATTATTATTATATTTTAAAAAGCACAGGTTAAAAAAATAAAAAGGACAGGTTAATTATGAAAAGGAGAAAGAAAAAGTGAGATACCTGCATAGCCACAGGCAGGCAAGAGAGCTGTCTGGAAGGGATTATTCTAAGCAAAGTAAGCCAGAAGGGGAAAAATAAATACCGAGGGTTTCACCTAAAAGCGGAATCTAAAGAAACCAAACAGAGGATCAGACAAAGACAAACTGTAAGTCTGACCCTTAAAAGCAGATTGTGGATCTGAGACACTCAGGATGAGAGAGGCAGGAGAGGGGGGCAGGCGGGGGGGGGGGTGGAGAGTAGAGAACAGGTGGGGAGGAGAGTGCGGTGGAGGGTGGGGGAGGACTGCGGGCCCTTTGGTGGTGGGAAAATTATGGTGATAGCACGTGAGGGGAGAAATTCCATATTGTGAAAAAATAAACAAGGATGTTTAAAAAGAAATAAAAAGGAGGAAAAATGTTCATTAGATCATCATCTGCATTCTCCCAATGATTAGATTAAAAATAAAAAGCTTGGTCTCCCAGTCCTGCAAACTACCAAAATAAGTTTGAAGTTAATATATTTTTTTAAAGATTTATTTATTTATTTATTTATACAAGCACTAGGTACAGTCAGAAGCGCAGGAGGGTGAGAGAATTCACCAGAGCCAGAGCGGAGAACAGAACAGGCAGACTGACGAAGAAATACACTGCTGAGGGGAGCAGCGGGCGTGGCAGGAGAGGTCTGTCGCGCCATGTGGGACTCTCGCCGGCTGCTGGGGATCGAACCGGCACTGCAGAGGCTGCGGGCAGCTTTGCAGCCCAGCACGCAACCACTTCGCCACAAGGGGAGGACCAGTTTGAAGTTAATATTAAAAGGGTTCATCTCCTGCACTGCTGTTGGGAATGCAAACTGGTCCAACCACTATGGAAAGTTGTGTGGAGATTCCTCAACCTGCTAAAGATGGAGCCTCCATATGATCCAGCAATTCCACTCCTAGGTATTTACCCAAAGGACACAGAATCATTAATTCAAAAAGGCACTTGTACTCCTATGTTTATAGCAGCACTATTTGCAATAGCTAAGCTATGGAAACAGCCCAAATGCCCAAAAATAGATGACTGGATCAAGAAGATGTGGTACATATACACAGTGGAATATTACTCAGCTATCAAAAAAGATAAAGTCATGCAATATGCAGCAACATGGATGGAGCTGGAAGGGATCATGCTCAGAGAAATAAGCCAGAAAGATAAAGAAAAATACCAGATGGTCTCACTCATAGCAGGAATTTAGTAAACCTAAATAAGGGGCCAGGAAAAAGACTAACTATAATGAAGAAAAAATCAAAATCAACAAGCAACTATAAACCAGAGACACACCATATGGTAGGGGGGATGGGGAGAGGAAGGATTAGGGTCAAAGTAAGGGGGGGGGCGCAATTGTATGGGAATATAACCAAAATGAAAATGCAGTCAGTGTGCAAAAATGAAAAATGATGTAAGAATTATATAAAATAAAATATTTTAAAAAATATTGAAAGGATTCATATGTTATAGGGTGGTCCAAAATAAATATTCAAAATAATCTAAAAGATAGTCATCTAAAAATGGCATCATAGCATTTATTTATTTATTTATTTATTTATTTATTTTAGATTTATTTAGATTTATTTATTTATTTATTTATTTATGCAAGCACTGGGTACAGCCAGAAGCGCGGGAGGGTGAGAGAATTCACCAGAGCCAGAGCGGGGAGCAGAACAGGCAGAGGGACTGAAGTACACTGCTGAGGGGAGCAGCGGGCGGCAGGAGGGGTCTGCGCGCCACGTGGGACCCTCCTCTGGTGGCCGGGGAGCAGCTGGGGATCGAACTGGCGCTGCAGAGGCTGCGGGCAGCTTCGCAACCCAGCGCTCAACCACTGCGCCACCAGGGAGGCCCCCATCATAGCATTTTGAAATATAATTCCAAGTAACCAAGGTAATAAGATAAATGATAAAGCCCTATTGTTTAATTTTTAAAAGATGGTATAGGTGGATTCTTCAGGAAACACTTGTTTTGTTCTAGACATTAAATCCTAAATAATTTGTTATGTAGTTATCCAAATATAACTAGCATCGTACTCTTGCATTAACATAGGAAACACTATGGTGCTTCCTATGTGCCACAGTCTTAATTAATTTCCATTTTCTTATATAATCTTCACGTCAACTTATGAGGTAGATGCTATTATCTCCATTTTGTAGATGACAAAACCGCATTGTGTCAAATCAGAGAGGTTGAGTAACTTGCCCAAGATCTGGGCCAGGAAGGAAGGGAGCCAATCTTCTAATCTAGTCATCCCAGCTTTAACCAGTACACCCTGCTGATCCTCTCCGGAACTACTAAGGTCGCACTGTGTGGTAGGTTGTAGGAATGGTTCTTGGCAGTATGGAGATGTGTCACCAGAGGAACCCATAACAGCGGCCAAGGGGCGCACCAAGGTGTCAGCTACTTCGGTGACTTCCTTAGGCCTGGCACCCCAGGCCCCGTAAGCTCAGAAACCCAATTCTATCAGCACTTTGTGACCAGCTCCATTTGTTGGGAGCAGAGCTCATCAAACAGCTCAGAAAGACTGATATGCAAACCAAAAGAACAATTTTACACAAACAGAGAAATGCAAAGTCTCGCAGCAGAAATGCTTGAGCTAGCAGACAAATGCACTCTCTTTCGGTAGCAAGTTGAGAAACCAAGTTATTATGGTTGTTTGGTGAGTATGGAGTTAGGGGATCTAATTGAATATTAATTCAACAGAGTCACCTGCCAAAGGACCCAAGCACAGAAGGTCCTGCTATAACCTAACATTCATTCCTGAGAAGCCTCACCTTCTGCAATATCATGCACTAAAAAGCAACAGAGTTGGGGCAGGGGATAGAGGGGATAGTCAAGTTTTCTGATACTAACATTTGCAATCGTTGTTAATGGAGAAAACATTTGGACAGTTCATGGGCAAATTAGTGACTGGAGGCTGCCCTCCAGGGTAGCAAAAGCAGTAAAAGCAGTGGAAAAGCAGGCTTGCAGCCACTGAAATCATACAAATAAGGGTGGCTCTCTGAGCCAACTGGCTGCCAGTAAGTTTGGGCACAGGAGAAAATGCTGCAGCAACCTGTTACATGTGGAGAACTGTGCAAAGCTGGGGGTGTCCTCCTGTGGGAAACAAGCCTTGGATGCAGGCTGAAAAGGCTCCTGTCTGCAGCCAAACCGAAGGCTGTTACCTTCCCTGCTAAAGGTTTTAATTCTATCCCCACTATTCTGGTTCCTTTTGAATGCAAAAAGTCCTGAACCAACACAACTTCCACATTATACTGACATCATTCTATTCACCAATCGGCTGTAAGCAAATTGGTATTGAAGCCAAACAGACACTACTCAGTCGGGAGTAGCTGCTCTTTCTTAAGATGAGTGCTTAGATCAGGGTTTTCAAGGGGGAAGGGTAATTTTGCCCCCTCCCCCCTTCCCCCAGGAGATATTTGACAATATCTGCAGACATTTTTGGTATTAGCCCTGGGGGTGGAGAAGGAGGAAGGCATTTCTGGAGGCCAGAGATGCTGCTAAACATCTATAGAGCACAGGGCAGCCTCCCCCACACACTGTCCAAAGTGTCAACAGGGCCTAGTTAGAGAAAGCCCAGCATAGATGGATACTGCGCTTTTGGCTTCTCATGTTCCTTCTTTCTGTCTCTAGGCCAGCAGTTCCTCTGTGTTCATAATCCCTATGGATGCAGTTAGATGTTGCCTAATCTACAATAATCATGTTCTTGTATTTCCTCCCTGAGATGACACACAGGTGACTTTGACTGGAGATAGAGGAACTCCCAAACGCTGCCATCACTCATTCACAGATAAAGTTTTTGGTTTACTCCATGGAGAGTTAGTCAGTCGTACTCATTCAATAAAGATTTTACCATTAGAAAGCTTGGAGAAGAGGGCCTCCCCGGTGGCGCAGGGGGTTGAGAGCAACGCTGTGAAGCTGTCCGCAGCCTTCATGGTGCCGGTTAGATTCCCGGCCCCACATGGCAAGGCAGACCTCTTCTGTCTCACCCGCTGCTCCCCTCAGCAGTGCTCTCGGTCTGTCTGCCTATTCTGCTCCCTGCTCTGTCTCTGGTGAATTCTCTCACCCTCCCGCAACTCTGGCCTGTATCCCAGCTCTTGTATAAATAAAAATAAATCTTTAACAAAAAACAAAAGCTTGGAGAAGAGGCTCAGAGATTTTCCCATTGTGTCTCCCACTCCCTTCTGCAATATAATTCAATTACCTGTTGCTTTATCCAAGAGAAAATGGAGAGAAAATTCTTTTCCCACCACTTTACTAGCTGTGAGACTTTAGAAAAGAGATTTAACCAGTAAGAGCCTTCATTTCCTTTTTTTTTTTTTTTGCAAAATAGTGATAACAGCTTCTGTTTACAGGATTGTTGGAAAGACAAAGTAGAATGAGTAAAAGCAGTCAGGTTGATGTGACATGTAGCACATGCTCAGTAACTGTCAGGCCCCTTTCCTGTGCAGTGATACCATACCCAAATTGCCATTGCGATGTTTGCTTTTCTTGAGCTTCAGCTTTTCTTTTCCTGAGTTGCTCTCTGTTTCGCAAACTCCAAGGTCCAATAAATTCTGAAAGATAAAAATTAAAGTTTCAGGAAATAATGATGAATTGTGGCATTTAATAGCAAGACAGTCCTCTGGCAAAGAGGTAAAATCCCCATGCTGGGGTCTGTTTTTCTCCCAGCTGTTTGAAGACTAGCACTATAGTTCATCCTTATACTGCCAAACAATGCCTGGGAGCAAGTATTCAGTAGACATTTTTATTTATTTTTATTTATTTATTTATTTATTTTACTTTCTCCAGAATTATTTATTTATTTGTTTGTTTGTTTGTTTATTTATTTATTTATTTGTTTGTTTGTTTATTTATACAAGCACTGGGTACAGGCAGAAGTGTGGGAGAGTGAGAGGATTCACCAGAAACAGAGCGGGGAACAGAACAGGCAGAGTGACGAAATACACTGCTGAGGGGAGTGGCGGGCGGCAGGAGAGGTCTGTGCACCATATGGGACCCTCGCCCAGTGGCTGGGGATTGAACTGGCGCTGCAGAGGCTGTGGACAGCCTTGCAACCCAGCACTCAACCACTGTGCCACTGGGGAGGCCCTCAGTAGACATTTTTAAATGAAAGGGTCAGCATTTGTATATAAGTGTGATATCAGCCTATTAATTTCTTCAAAATATTTTTATACATTGTGCAAACAATAAAAGAAAAATCAGCTATATTCTGCCATCCTTGACATTACAGCCCGTTTTCATTTTACTCCTCACAATCATCTCATCCTTATATCACACAAATTTATAATGATAGCATACCACAAATTTGTTATTTATTAACCTATCAGAAATATTTTGAATCACATATTTGTATCATATAATTATAACTCTAAGAATTCTAAGAATGAACTGGTACTTAAACAAGATATTTTCATTTACCTAGTCATTCTTTATCTAGTGACTATTTAGGTTGTTTCCAGTCTTTTTTTCTTTTTTTTTTTTTTTGCCTTTTGAGGTCAAAATATAATAAACATATTCATACATACAGCATTTTTTTTCTTTTCAGATTTTTTCCTGAGGGTGGTGTTTCTCCAAGTTCTTTAAAATATTAAAGGTATTACTGAAGAAATTTCTCTTGCCATCCAAGTTTGAGAAAAATTACTGGGTGCTTAAGATAGAACTTTTTAGAGCCTATAGCAGGATTGTAAATTTGTACTAGAACCCCCAAAAGTTAAAGCATGCCCCTTGGCCCATAGCACCTTTAGTTCTTAGGACAGAGGTTCTCAATGGTGAATTTGGATGAGGGTAAACTATACCTTTATTTTTACCAATCTCTTCTTATAATTGCCATTCATTCTACTATGGTTATAAGTGATAAACCATGGTAGTTTAAGCATCTTGTGACTTTGTCACCAAAATAAATTACAGATTTTTTTCATATCACACTACAGCTGTTATAGATGCCTTAAAATATCATGTATTTGAGGTGATATGGTATATATCAAACATGATATACTTGATTTGATACAACGACCCAGCCATAGATCTTGTTATTTAATACACCTATTAATAAGCACATAGTTTCTTGTTATTTCCTTTGTAGTTCTATGTATTTGATCTTATGTATTTAAACTGTTTATTCTAAGAAAGGATCTGTAAGTTTATCAGAATGCAAAAGCGATCCATGGCACTAAAAAAGTTTTAAAGCACCCACTTAAGGCTAAAGGTTTTATAAAACATTTTAGAGATGAGGCTTTAAGGATAAAGTCAAAGACTAATATTAATGTGTCAAAAAAAAATAAGCACTATTACTATTCTTGTTACCTATTGTCAAATCGCTCTACAAAAGTTATACCAGTGTACACGTCCACAGAGGCAGATGGTGGTTTGTTTACCACAACTATCCAGTATTGGGTATTTTCAGTATCTTTCATTCCTATTATTTATTTATTATTTCCTTGTGTTTCTTAGCACAAGAAAGTTCCTCGGGAAGTTACACAGTCCCAGTTTATCCCAGCTAAGTTTATAGGGACATACTAAATTATGCCCCTCCTTTTTTGACCAAACCCCCCAAATGAGGAAAATAACCATAACCTCAGTTCTCCCAGTAGCCACTATCCCTTGTGGTCCCTTTCATTACCTGGAACACAGTTCTTCTCTTGATGAGAATCAGGTGTCTGATGGAACGTCAGACAAGACTGGTCCTTTCCCAACTCCATCTTGCTGCAGTACCTTCCTGCTATTTGGTCTGACTTCCACAAGCAGCCTTTTTGAAAATATCCAAAGCAACTAAGTTAAAAACACACATACACACACTTGACAAGTTCACTTGGACTTGACTTCCCGCCTAAATATTTTATCTACATGGTCCATAGCTGCTGGCTACTTCTACTTACTTTATCATACTGCACAGGTGTGCGTAGGGGAATGGCTAAATCCTCACCCTCCAGCATAAGTTGCTAGTTATAAAGGGCACCCATAGCCACGGCCTGGCATAGCATAAGCCCCAGGAGACTAGTCATTTGTTTTGCCTGCCTAGAAGCACCCAAGTCTGCTGTGTTTTTACTTATGTGGGTGGCAGATTGCAGAAAGAATAGCCCTAGAATCTAACCAGCTCCGTGTCCTAGAACAAGTCACTTCCCCTTCCTGTGACTCTCTTCACATTTGCAAAGTGAGTATAAAATTCCTGACTTGCACCCTCTATGCAGTGCTTGTGAAAGTGAAAATAACAAATGTGAATATCATGAAGATGTGAAATTAATCTCATATTATCTTCCTACATGTGGCACTATTTTCACCTTTTTTTTTTTTTTGCAAAAAATGGAAAATCTTGCTGTATACACTGTTAGATAATAAACCTAAAGAAGAAAATTAGGAAATCAAAACAAATTTGAACTCTTTTCTGCTCATTTGACCATTTACAAGTAACTCAAAATAACCAGTGACCCCACTGTTGCTCATCTAGGAAAGGCCAAAGTGCATTTGTTCATGAAAATATCATAAATTTATGTCACAGACAGAAACCAAAGGAATCATCCTGCCTCCAAGAGATCACCGCACCTGTGAAGGCAAGAAGGCACACAGGACTATAGTCGTCCAACTAGGGAGGGAACCCTCACACCATCTCACTCAGGCAGCCAGTCTGGGGATCCAGGGAAACAATGTGCTCTGGAGGCACAGGCAGAATCCAGAGTTTGAACCCCAGTGTTGCCACGTTCTCTAATTTAGTGACCTTAGATGTGTTATATGGCCTTGGAGCCAGCTTACCTATCTGTCATATGGAACAACATTGATACCTTTCATATGGTTATTGGAAATATTACATCAAATTTTCTACATAAGGCATTTCATCTATGCCTGGCATATTGAGTTTGATTGATGTCAGTTGCCTTCACGAATAATAAAAAATAGAGTGACTAGAGCCTCCCTGGTGGTGCAGGGGTTAAAGTCTCAGAGCTATCAAGCTATTGCCAGCCACTGTGGCATGGGTTCCATCCCCAGCCATGGAGCTAGCCCACTTGGCACAGCAGACCTCTCCTGTCTCGCCCGCTGCTCCCCTGAGCAGTTTTTCAGTCAATCTGCCTGCCCTGCTCCCCACTCTGTCTCTGGTGAATCCTCTCACTCCCTGCACCTCTGGCCTATACCCCAGTTCTTATATGCATAAATAAATAAAAATAAATCTTTAAAAAAAAAATAGTGACTAGGGCTTCCCCTGGTGGCTCAGTGGTTGAGTGCTGGGCTGCGAAGCTGCCCACAGCCTCTGCAGCGCCGGTTCCATCCCTGGCCACCAGGGGAGGGTCCCACATGGTGCGCAGACCTCTCCTGCCTCCCGCTGCTCCCCTCAGCAGTGTACTTTGGCCCTTCTGCCTGTTCTGCTCCCTGCTGTGTCTCTGGTGAATTCTCTCATCCTACCGTGCTTCTGACTGTACCCAGTGCTTGTATAAATAAATAAATAAAATCTTAAAAAAAAAAGTGACTAGATTTTAATAAAACAAAGTCATAGTTTAAATCCATAGTAGGAAAAAACCTCATAGAAAATCTGAAGGGAATCCTTTATAAAGAGAAAATCTTTATAATGTGAATAGGTGCCCCTAATTCCATACGCTTTAGAACTGGAAAGTTCCCTCAAACAATCTAGTCTCTCCGTATAGTTTATATATTCAGAAAAACTGAGAACCAAGCAGGGGAACGATCTGCCGGTCCTCATTTTTTTTTTTTTTTTAAGATTTATTTATACAAGTACAAGTCAGAAGCGCAGGAGGGTGAGAGAATTCACCAGAGACAGAGCAGGGAGCAGAACAGACAGACTGACGAAATACACTGCTGAGGGGAGCAGCGGGCGGCAGGAGAGGCCTGCGTGCCATGCGGACCTTCCCCCGGTGGCTGGAGAGCAGCCGGGGATCGAACTGATGCCGCGGAGGCTTCGGGCAGCTTTGCAACCCAGCGCTCAACCGCTGCGCCACCGGAGAGGCCCAAGAATCTATGTTCTTACTGAACACATTAAGCACGCTAAGAACCAAGATGGCTCCCTGAAATGAAATGTAAAAGAAAATCATCAGAAGTAATAAGAAGCCAAAGGGAAAGGTACTTGGGCTCAACTGAAGAGCCAGCCTGCTCCATCCAGAGCAGCACACTTTGTGAAAACCCATGGAAAGGAGCTTGAGCTGCTGGAACCCACTCCCTATGGATTCATGGCATAATAGATGTGAAAGAACTAAAATACCTCTAGACTAAAAAAAAAAAAAAATCAAATGCAAATCCAAATAACTCAAAAATATAAAATACTAGCATTTGATCATTTAAACTAGAATTTTAAATATCTGTCCCTTTATTTGAAATGTTTTCAATGTTACTGATTAGGCCATTTCTTTTGATAGTGCAATAAGATAACCTTATAGAATACATCTGAGGCACCTTACAGAAAATGCAGAGTAAGGGCAAATGGCATTACCCTTACTCAGAGCCTATGGCACCAGTTCAATGATTCACAAGCCTTACTGGACACTCTGTGAGACATACTGAGCAAGGCTTGTCAGACTAAAAAGATGCTTAGATGTAGTCCCTGAGTTGCGTGCTCTCTAAAACACAGCTGAGCACACTCAGCATTTAGGGAAACAATATTGAGATTCTTTATAGCCCAATGCAACCTACTGAAGTTGGCTTCCCCTCTACTTCATGTTCCCTGTATCTAGGGGCAGAATTTGGAGCAACTATAGGAGGGTGGGGTGTCAAGTTAACAGTTAATTAGGGGCCAATATTGGGTGGAGGGGGCCAGTGGAGGGTACTTTGGAGCAAACTAGATTGGAAGTCAGGCAAGGTGTCTCTGGTGTGATAAGCAGCCCGCAGCAGGAACTTGCCTGGGACAGAAATAGCCACACAGTTAAGTCCACAAGTTCTTTGTCTCTTTTCTCTGTAGAAACCTCTAGAGTCTTTACCAGAACGTAAGATGCTAGGTATTAAAGGTTGGATGTTTTTAATGAATGCTGCCTTGTTCTAGAGTTACTTGCATATATACATGAAACCTCCCTCCAGGAGACAAATTCTCTGAGAATCATTACCATTCCTGATTCCCCTCTCTAACTCTACTGAGAGGCTTGACCCACAGTGGTCCCCACAAATGCCCTCACCCCGGATGCAGGGCCAGCTTCATGGGCTTGGTGAAGCCTGTGACAGTCAGATGGGCTGATGTGCTATGAGTTAATAATAGTAATCTCGTTCGTCACCAGCCCCAGAACTCTCTCTCTCATCCTCATTGGCACTGGCCTGTGTGCTGGAGCTGTATAGCAGGTAAAAGACAAATGTCCCTGCCCTAGGAGCCTCATTACATATATTATTTATTTTCTTATTGTTCATCTGCCCCTGTCTCACCCGCTGCTCCCCTCAGCAGTGTATTTCATTAGATCCACCTGCTCTGCTCCCCTGGTTAATCCTCTCATCCTTTGCACCTCTGGCCTGTACCCCAGTTTTTCTATGTAAAAATAAAATATTTAAAATAGTGTGGTCAGGGGAGGCTTGACTTGATAGAGTGATGGGCCAGCAGAACTGAAGGAGGTGAGGGGCCAGCCATGCTGGTGTGTGGGAGGGCCTCCAAGCAGAGGGGTGCCAGCAGAGGACCTGAAGAGGGAGGACAGGAGGTGGATTTAGGGAGGGAGCTTGTTGCCCCTTGTTGGGATTTCTACTCTGATTGAGATAGTCTTGGGATGGTTTTGACAGAGAAGTAGCATATATTTTATTTTTTTTTTAATAGAGGCATGTTTTTTATTTATTTATTTGTTTGTTTGTTTTTGTTTTGTTTATACATGCACTGGGTACAGTCAGAAGCGCGGGAGGGTGAGAGAATTCACCAGAGCCAGAGCGGGGAGCAGAGCAGGCAGAAGGACTGAAGTACACTGCTGAGGGGAGCAGCAGGCGGCAGGAGAGGTCTGCGCGCCATGTGGGACCCTCCTCCGGTGGCCGGGGAGCAGCTGGGGATCGAACCGGCGCCGCAGAGACCTCGGGCAACTACCCAACCCAGCGCTCAACCGCTGCGCCACCGGGGAGGCCCGGTAGCATATATTTTAAAAGGATTTTTCCAACATATATTTTAAAAGGATTATTCTGGCTACTGTGTAGATAAAAGACCATTGGAGAAAGGGAGGAAGTGGAAGCAGGGAGACCAGGTTGAAGGATGTGCAATAATCCAGGTGGGAGGTGATCAAAGCTTGGCTGAGTCTGTAGTGATGAAGAGGGTCTCAGGTTTGGAGTAGCTTACAGATCGGATGTGGAGTGAGAGAGTCAAACAGTATGACTATGGTTTTGTTCTGAACAATGGAAGGCTGGAGTTACCATGACAGATGAGGGAGACTGGGAGGGGCAGGTATGTAGGAGACAACAGGAGTTTAGTTTAGACTAAGGGGAGAGTAAAGGAGACAGGAAACCAGAAAAGTGTAGTGTCCTGGAAGCCAAGTGGAAAAAAGTCAGGGGTAGGAAAGCCAAGTGGAAAAAAGGGTGGAGGGAGTGATCAAATGTGTCAAATTTGGCTAAGAGGTAGAGAAGCGCGCTAACAATATATTTGCTAACAATTCAATTCAATGAACTACAGACTGTGAAGCCCAGAGAGGTTAAGTGACTTTGTCAAGATCTCATTATCCACAGGAACAGCTAGCTATGTGATTTGTGGGACCTAGTGCAAAGTGAAAATGTGGAGCTTCTCCAAATGTTTTTAAGAATTTCAAGTGGCTATAGCAGAAAATTAAACCCAGACAGGGTTTTCCTTTGACCAGTGTT